AAGCATATGTGAGTTTCTAACTTGATTTCTCTCTGCCGCAGCCAGCAAGGGAGGGGATTGCTACAGAGAAGAGTAACTATGGTGGAAACAATCGGTCCATGCAAACATTTAGGTAGGGAAAATTGCATGCCGCTTCACAGTTCACATTCTCAACCATTATACAACACCTAGTACTTCCGCCAATATAAAGATTAGTGAGTTTGCACAGGAACATTTGGGAGGCGATGAATCTATCTTAAGCAATTATTTACAAGTTTGAGCACTGCGCTCTGTTCAACTTAGATGACGACTGTGACTCAGATCATGCCCAGCCCTATTTGTATAAAGTAAGAAGGAAAGGTAGTAAAAAGGGAGTTTCTTCTTTACTTATGTATGGCTTGTGCAAAGAAACCTATGAGAACTTCTGGACTTATTTTACATTGTTGTGCCGTAGATGAAAATTTTCTGACATCTTAGAGGGGTAGAATATTTTAGGAGAATGACATAATCTGGACCAGTGGTTCCCAACTTTGGGTCCCGAGAAGCTCTTGGACTACAACTCCCAGAAATCCTGGCCAGAACAACTAGTGGTAAAGGCTTCTGAGAGTTTTAGCCCAAGAACCTCTGGGGACTCAAGCCTGAGGTCCACTGATGTAGGCAAATTTCAGTTTCAGATTCAGATCTGGTTTTGGAAATGACTGGCCTTGGTCACAGCAATGGACCTTCTTCCCAAGAGAGAGATGGGGTGAGGGTGCAACACTGTCTCATCAGCTTTTCACACCATTGATTGTGATATCATTCTGGATACAGATGGAGGGGAGCTCCTTGCTTGTGTGTTTCAGCTCCTGCCTGTGGAGTTGGTCCAGGAAAGTATCACATTATTTCCATTGCACTATTTATAGTAGGCTATTGGACTGATCACTCGCAAGACAAATGGTTTTGGCAATGGGGCTGATGACTCAAGACAAATGTTCCTATAGCCGTGCTTCACAAGAAGAATGTTTTCCGTTTTTTGTTCCTGCCTCATGTTTGCTGATTTTAAAATGTTTTTGTATGTTTAAAAAGTTAAAGTTTTTTTATTGAAAATTTTTAAATCATTTGCACAATATGTATGGCTTTAAAGAGCACTTAAT